CCTGGGGATGGAGTGGGGGGGAGGGAGGAAGGCTTCTGGAGCCCCTCCCCGACTCCTCCATCTCCACAGCCAATCTCACAGTGTCACCTGTCATCCCTTGTCTACCACAACTGCTCTGAGACACACCACTTAAGGCTTTCAAAAATAATCAATTGTTGTCTTTAAGATGGTTAATTTTACGTTATGTGAATTTTATCTCCAACATTTTTTTCCTTTAAAAAGTTTAAAAAAAAATGTGTGCTGTTGTGGGGAGAACATATTGTCGGGGGTTTTCCTGTTTAAATGCTAGCTCCCTCATCCATCCCCAATACAGGTTACCCCCTCTCCCACCAATCCTGGTTTGGTCCCATGGTGCTAAAGCCTCATTCTACTACTCCTTCCCCTAACAGGGGAATATCCTATTAGGGGATATAGGGGATATAGGTATATCACTAATATACCTATTAGTGATACCCTAATAGGTATCACTATTTCAAGTGTCTCCAGTGAGTACCTCTATCATTTCTTGTTCAATCAAACACAGACAGTATTTTCACCAGCCACACCCTGCTTTGTGAAGGGAGGCCCCCCACCCCACTTTTTTTTCACCCACTTTCTCCTAACTCCATGCTCTGTCATCTGTATTTTAATTTTTGTATCATTAAAGTTGACAAAAGTTATTCTCTTCTGAAATTTTAATTATTTTTTTCCTTTTTTTTTTTTTTGCCATGCCATATGGTTTGTGGAATCTTCATTCCTCCACCAGGGATTGAACTGGTACCTGTGACAATGAAAGTGCAGAGTCCCAATCACTAGACTGCCAGGGAATTCCCTGCCATTATATGAAGTCTTCTGTGCTTTGCCTTCACAGTTGAAAACCAAGTAAGTGTTCATACCACCCTAATTGCCCATATAATGTTTACTGCACAGTTTAATAACTGCTTTCTAAGAAAATTGCCCAGAACTGAACAACATGGGTTTTCCTGTGTGCTAAGTCGCTTCAGTCGTGTCCAACTCTGTGGGACCCTATGGACTGCAGACTGTCAGGCTCCTCTATCCATGGGATTCTCCAGGAAAGAATACTGGAATGGGTTGCCATGCCCCTCCTCCAAGGGAATCTTCCCAACTCAAGGATGGAACCCACTTCTCTTACATCTACCTGCACGGCATGTGGGTTCTTTACCACTAGCACCACCTAGGAAGCCCAGGTAAAGGGCTCACTAAGTGCCTAAAGTATTACATAAAAATATTGATAGACACAGATTAAGGCAAACAATAGTGAAATTTAAACCACTGTAGAAAAAAAAAAAAGGGTAAATGCTGCATGTTTGTAAAGACAGAGGGAAGAAAACATCCCAACTGAAAGACTGCAAATCAGAATGGCTTCAAATTTTCTCTCAATAACTCTGGGAACTAGAAGACAGAGAATGCTTTCAGACTTTTGAAGAACAATCATTTTCAACTTGGAATTTTTATACCCAGAAAAATTATCAAACAAGTGTTCGGGCAGAATAAAGACATTTTCAGATATGCAAGGACTCAAAAATTTACCTTCCATATATACTTTCTAGGAAGTTACTGGAGATATGTACCAACAAATAGAGGAAGTAAGTTAAGAAAAAGAAAGATAGATATAGGACCATCCAGGAGAATCACAGAATCCTAGGGGGACAGCAAGCAGAAAGCAGTCAATTAAAATTTGAAAAGAGTGAAGTAAAAGGAGATATAGAAGACCTGACACTATCCTTGAGCGCTTGGAACAACTTAGGTAAGCAGCCAAGATAGAAAAGCTTGAGGAGAGAGGGGCGCGGTGGAAAGGAAGACAGGAAGTCCAGGGGAAAAACAGCTGTTCAAGAAAGGAAATAGTTATGAATAACAATGATGAGTACGATGATGATAACCATTGGATTTTTAACTCAAAATGGCAGAAAAACCACACATCTCCTCTCTGTCTTGAGATCTGAATTAAATAGATAGTAAGTGAATTATAAACCACTATTTTGAGGAGAACTGGAGGGGTTCCATCAGTAGACCAAAGTGTTCAGCTTATTTCTGGGAGGCAGAAAATAGTTGCAAGGATTTTGGATCAAGATGCTTATCAAACATAGGCATTTATTTTTACTTGTTCCTAAAACCCCATCAAAACATATTATTAAGGGTATAAAACCATGAAGACAACACCTTTCATATTCCAGATCATCCCACTTTATCACCCACAAAATACAATGTGTTTAATTTGGTTTGTACACCTTGGGTCAGTTCTGCCTCTCGGCTCTCATCACCTGGGGATCTCAGTGAATCTCACACAGCAGGGAGCTGGAGGAATGCCAAGGACAACAGGAAGAACTGCAAGACTCATACCGTTCTTGGTTCCATTCTTGGTTCCATTCCCGAGGCTCCATGAGTAAATTAGAGGGCCTCTCAGAGCCCTGCTGGTCTCATCAGTAAAGTGGAGATTATAACATCTGTCCTATTTCCTTCAAGTTGCACTTGCTGAACTAAAGTGAGACCAGGAGTAGATAGAAACTATATGTTCTCATCCTCAAGCCTTGACTGTTAAAGTCTTCACCTTTTAATATTCAAGTTACAAAGAAGGCAGGGCATGCTTGCCTAGATGAACAGACTCTTCTTCACCCCATCTCATCCTCACCTCACCTCACCTACTATGGGAAGTCAGTCCCTTCAGTTCTACCATCAGCCCCAAAACAGGTCAGTGGAATACTATACAGCAAAAGGAAGGAACAAGCTAGGGACTTCCCTGGCATTCCAGTGATTAAGACTCTTCACTTGCACTGCTTGTCAAAAATGAATAAATAAATAAAACTATGAACAAGCTAAATCTATAGATAGTATGCACCTCCTCAACACATTCTTAACAGAGAGAAGCCAGAAACAGTATATTCTGTATGATTCAATTGCTATAGAGTGTAAATATAAGCCAAAGCAATCTATGCTGGTTGAAGCCACTACCCTGTCCCCTAGAAGAGAGAAAAAAAGAGACAGTCTTCTGGAGAACTAGTAATAGTCTGTCTCTGGATGTTAATGATGTGTTAGTTTAAGCAAAATCATTGAAACTGTGAAAAGCATACATATTAAATATCTACTATCAGTTTAGTTCAGTTCAGGTCAGTCCCTCAGTGGTGTCTGACTCTTCCTGACCCCATGGAAGCAGCAGGCCAGGCTTTCCTTGTCCATCACCAGCCCCCGGAGCTTGCTCAAACTCATGTCCATGGAGTTGGTGATGCCATCCAACCATCTCATCCTCTGTCGTCCCCTTCAGCTCCTGTCTTCAATCTTTCCCAGAATCACGGTCTTTTCCAAGTATCTACTATACACTAATAAAAACTTTTTTTAATGGGGGAAAGGAGGCCTGTGCCTTCATGCAAATTTGCCCAATCCCTTCCTGTGACTCCGATTTCCACAAACAAATGGATGCTGGCAACGGACAGTCCAAACCTAGGACTCCAGCTCCGTAGAGCTCAACCCTAGGTTAAAATAACCTATGAACTTAACATATACTTACTAAAGGGCCAATTTTAGCAGATTATTTTTCTAAATAATCCGCTCAGAGTTAAATCTACTTTAACTACTTTAGTCTACTTTAAGGACTCTAAACTACAAATTATTTTTAACTGACGTCATCTGAACAACCATAAGAGACAGTCATTGTCCTTTCTCCACCAAATGATTCCTGATAAATGAATTCAAATCATTGCTTCTTTTAAAATTCGTCTCTTTTTAATTCTATAGAGGAGTTTCGCATGTAAAACATATGTCAATTAATATGTATTAATGCTTTGATAATACTAGAATCAAGTTATAAACTCACAAAAACGAAAGAACAGCTGCTCCCACGATTGCCTCAACCAGAAGTGAGATTCTGGCTTTACCAAAACAGGGGACAGGGACGGGAAAGGGGACGAGCGACCCGTGGAGGACAGACGCGTGGACCAGCCGTGTGGATAAGAACTAGAAGGAGGGATGCAGACATAGACAGGGGGAACCAAGAGCAGTTATGTAGAGGTGACCGACGCCCTGCAGTGGAAAAATCCCTGCCGCCCCTGCTCTGGGTCAAATCACCGCAGCCAAAGCGCGGTGGCCGGGTTGGGGTGTGAGGATAGCGGGTGGAGGATACTCGAGGGGACAAAAGACGGAGCTTCAGAGGCCACACTTCGGCCTCGGGGCCGGAACAGACTTTGGCCCCGCCGCCCCCACCTGCAGCACAGCCCCGAACCCGCGCGTCACTCCCAGCGGAAACGAGGCGCAGCCCGGGCTTCTGGCGAGGTGCGCGCCTCCCGGCCCCCGCCTCGACGCTTCGCAGCTCCGCGGCCCGCAGCTCTCCGCCGAGCGGGGGCGGGGACAGGGCTGCACCTACCAGGATCTGCGACTCGAGCGACGGTGCAGCCAGCGGAGACAGCATCCCAGCCCGGACGGCGCCCTGGGTCCACCGGCACGAAGGGTCGGAGCGGAACCGGGGAGGCGGGAGGCCCCTCGCCGACTCGACAGCGCGTCGCAGGTCAGTGTGCGGCGCCGGCTGTGCGGGCTGCACTTAGGAAAACTTTGGTTTGCGTGTCGGCTGCCAGGAGGAGGGCGCGGAGCGCGCAGCCCGGGCCCAGGGCCTCCGTGCGCCCCGCCGGGTATACTTGGGCCCTGGGAGCCGGCATCTCCCGCTCCCTGACACTGCGGAGCCCTGGCGCCCACCGAGGGTCGCCGGAGTGCAGGGTCCTTTCCAGAGACTCTGCCCCGCCGAGCCGGGCGCGCTCCGCGGAACCCACACTCGCGCCTCCCGCAGTCCCCGCCCGTTCTTGGCGGGGGCTCTGCGGCGGCGCGGGCTCGGACCCCGCGGGCGAGCGAGTTTCGCCTCCTCCTCGGCCTTGCAGCGCTGGGGAAGTGATGAGGGTAGCCGGCGGCCGCAGGATATCTAAGAGGATTCGGGCAGGGGCCTCGCGGGCGCGGGTCGGCGCCGTAGCGGGAACGGCGCGCGCTCGGCTGCCAGAGCGCGCGGGTCGGAGGGGCGGACTTGGGCGCGTCTCCGCAGGTGCCTGCGGCCGCCTGGCTGTGGGAGGTGCGGGCCGGGCGTGGGGCGCGGGGCGCGGGCTAGCGGGGGCTGCGGAGCGGTTTGCAGTACGGTCTTCACAAATGCGAGCCACACAGGGGCCGGCAGCCGGGCCCCCGGAGCCTGTTGGGGCCATACAGCTTTGGCACCAGGACCCCAGGCCCCTTGTCAGAGAACCGGGGTCCAGAGGTGCGCCTGCCCCCAGCAGAGGGGCAATGGCTTCTCCTCTCGGGCGTGCCATTTCCCAAAAGGAGGGCCGTGTCCCCCGGGCGGGCGGTGCAGGGAGCGCTCCGCAGCGACTCTGCTCAGAACCCCTTCTCGTGGAGGGCCATCGCCTCAGCCTGCCAGCTGTGCCCTGGCTCCGAGCAGAGGCGCCGAAACGCGCACCCCGCCCCCATCGGTGTCCCGACGCTGTCGCCCCAGTCACCTTCCTGTGCCCTTCTCCGACAGCTCCTCGGGCTCGCTCCCTCCCCGCTCTCGGGAAAAACTGAGGCAACAACTCCGTTCCGGAGGCCGCGAGGACTGTGAGGACGCCGCCAGAATCCTCGGCAGCCTGGAAATCCCATCACGTTGGTTCCCTGAGACTTGGCGGTATAGGTTTGCATGTCTTTATGTGTGTGTGCTGGGAAGGCAGGGTTGGGGGGGAGGGGGGGTGCGGGTTCTGCAGAGGGATGTGAGGGTGCAGTTTCCCCAGGGCCCATTACCAGAGACCTGGGGTCGGCTGCAGTAGGTAGAAGTAACCAGCCCTTTGGGGATACGTGTGGGAAAGACAGCAAACTGTACCAGCTTGGGTCGTTTCTAAATATTTCTTACAAGCCCAGTGCCAGAGAACACTTTACCTGGCAAGTCATGACGTTCCCTGGGACAATCTCAGTGGCATCTCTTGTTCTGGCTTTGTCCCTTCCCTTGCAAGGGGAAGGAGATGCGTATTTTGCTGGTGGTAGGCAGGCTTGCCTCATTCCAGGCGCAGCTGGCCTCCATGTACTGGCCTGGGCTGCCCACTACAAAGCTTGACTTTCTCAGACCTGTCTGGGAAGGGTAGGGCAGCAGACCTCCAGTACCTCGGCTGCTGTAACTCAAGGCCACACTCTTCTCTGGACCTGTGGGCCCTCTTTGCCCACTCTGAGGCAGGGCAGTTCTCTCTGCCCTTCGCTCCTGCAGCAGAGCTAAGCCTCAGATGCCCTGGAGGTGAAATGATGGAGACAGCCTGGTGGGGGAGCCTCAGGCAGGGACTGATAGCTAATAGGAAGTGGGACTGGGGGATGAGTTTGTCGCAGATTTTTCCCAAGTATGTACAAGAAGTACCCCCTATGGGGAGTGGAGCCTGGGATCTAATTAACAAGCTCTCCATGTGATTGTTAGGCCCATTGTAGGTGGAGGAACGGGAGGCACCTTAGCCCCCATTCTCAGACCCCCTAGCCCAGAGCACTTGCATTGAGTGATGTATGTTTAGAAACTGACACGATTGAATTCCTAAGTGGCAAATATATAAGGATCTTCTGAAATCCTCACAGTCATTGTCAGTAAATATTATCCCCACTTTACGAATGGGGAAACAGAGGCTCAGAGGAACATCTTCTCCAGGGCTTGTGACTTGGGAGGAGACAGAGCCCCAGGCTTTGACACACAGCCTGCTGCCCCCTCTGAGCATGCTCTGGTCCCCTGCAGGCAGCGCAAAGACAGGGTAACCTGGGGCAGAGGTGAGGGCCTGAGTTTCCAGCTTGAAACCCATTTGTTAATTTCCACACACCTCATCCTTCTCGCTGCTGTTTCTCACCATGGCCAGATAAATATTAATAACTTTCTGGGAGGAAGCATAGATCCTGTTTGGAGGTGGACTAAGAGGCTCAAAGGAAAGTAAAATTTCTTCCCAAATGACAGGAAAACTAGGGGTGGCTTGGGGAGAAAAATGCCACAGGCAAGACCAAGCCTATTATCTCCAAGATGACTTTTAAAGCACCTTGGCCCCTGTGGCAATTGTTTGTGCTCAGTCACTTCAGTCGTGTCCGACTCTTTATGACCCTATGGTCCACAACCCACCAGGCTCCTCTGTCTGTGGGGATTCTCCAGGCAAGAACATTGGAGTGAGTTGCCATGCCCTCCTCCAGGGGATCTTCCGGACCCAGGGATCAAACCCCCACCCTGCGTCTCCTGCATTCCAGGCGGATTCTATACCGCTGAGCCACGGGGGAAGTCCATAGATACCACACAAATCAGGTACTCAAAACAGAACTCTACCCTGTGGGAAGCTGGTGTCTAAGAAGCAAGGAGACATAAGAGAGGGAACATGGGAACATCTGTTAACTCCTGCTGAGCAGGCGGGTAAGAGAAGTGACTCTGAGAGTTCTCCGACCTTTCCCTCCTCAGCCACATCAATGGGGCAGACCTTAGCACGGAGTGGGGCAGACCAGGTGAATGCCACAGCTCAACAGTCCTTGCAGGGCAGGCTTCGTCCTGTGTGCGTGAGTGCGTGTCTGTGTGTGGACACACACAGGATTGCCCTGCGTAGAATCCACTCCTAACACTTCACAGATTTATAAACAGTGAAACATGATTAACTGCATAAACACCGTGGGGATGTCTTCCTTAACAGGGAATTAAAAAACTAGACTCCTAATGGGAGAGATGTGTGGGACAAATTATTGGTATTTATGTAGCTCTGAATAGCTTTGATTTCCTTTAGGAGGAACTGACAGCTGGCTGACAGAAAACTCATCCAAGGAGAGAAAAGACATAAGTGAAGTGTGAAATTGTGAATAACATTTTCAGGTAACTTTCTATTTCCATTTAAAGTGGGTGTCTGGAGGGGCGAATGTGGTTATGATTTGAATTGCTTCACTTATCTATAGAGATTTTTTAATAGGGCTCATAATTCTGAGATCCAGTGCCTTTTACTTCTTTTTCCTACCTCCCAGTCCCCTGGTGACAGGGCAGTGAGCTGGGAATTGCACCATACAGCCTGTAGACTCTCAGTTTCCCCCATTTTCAGCACGTGGCTTCTGCGGCTGGAGCCTTCCTGATCAATCTGTTTAGAGAACAAATCATTTTCTTGCCCAGGAGAGTTGTTGTCTACTTGGGGTGGGGTAAAGTTCTGGGGGGTCCAGTTGTTCTCTCCAACCATCCTGTCATGTTCAACCGTGTGCCTCTTTGCCCATTTCGGTGTCATTTGGAACCTCCATGTCCTAAGCTTTCGGGGTCCTGCTGGTAAACTGGCTCCCTTCTCGCTGGGGCCATCTCCCTGGGGGGATTTATGTTGTAGCTTCTACTATGTTAAGGCAGTTAACCATGCCACCCCCACCTCTGTCTCCTCAGCATGTTTGAAAGTGATCATCTGATGCTACCCTCTTTCAGTTTTCTTTGTTCTTCAGAATAGATATCTTCTCAAAAAATTTAGAAGAGCCTTGGGAGGTGGAGACCATTCTGGTGACTCAGATGGTGGAGAATATGCCTGCAATGCAGGAGACCTGGGTTCAATCACTGGGTTGGGAAGATCCCCTGGAGAAGACTGAAAGAGGCAGTAAAAGAGTAGAGTAAATATGCCATGATGAATCATGAGCCTTGTTAAAGACAATTTAATTTTAAAATAAAAGCAATTTATCTGGCTGTTTAATAATTAATATCTTATATTACTCATATCTTTAATGCTGAAATTACTGTATTTGGGAATTATAAGGAAAATGCCCTTAAAGGGGTAGCTTATTCCATAGTTCACTTATTAGGTTTCATTTATGTTTACAAACATTATTTACAGATTCTAAAATAACAACATTTTAAAATTTTTTATGTTATTTAAATAGCCTGTGAGTTAGAGACATGGTGGGCTTCCCCAGTGGCTTAGCTGGTAAAGAATCTGCCTGCAATACAGGAGACCCGGGTTAGATCCTTGGGTCGGGAAGATCCCCTGGAGAAGGAAATGGCAACCCACTCCAGTATTCTTGCCTGGAGAATCCCTGTGGACAGAGGAGCCTGGCAGGCTACAGTCCATGGGATTGCAAAGAGTCAGACACCACTGAGCGATGAACGTTTCCACTTTTCACTGTAGAGACGTGATAAAAATAAAAGATGGCTACATTCTGAGATAAAAATTTTAAAAAGAAGAACACAGTGAGTAGGAAGGCATACAGGAAAGTCTTTTTCCAGGTGTTGTCTGATTTCATCACCAGCCCCCAGGGGATGAATGTTTTATGATTGTCTTCCACCGATGGGGCACCCAAGACTCTGAGAGGCTGAGATATTTGACCAGGGCACAGAGCTAGAAACTAGGAGAGTCAGGGTGGGAATCTGGGTCTACCTGACCTTCAGATTTTCTCCAGTTGAACAGTCTGTTTGGAAGGTGTAACTGACCTGGGGGATCATTTACAAGCTAGATTATAACAGAGCCTGACTGTGTGAACACCATACTAGCACGAGGTGCCCTGGGTGGGGATGTTTCCAAGGAAGAGACCTAAGGCAGGAACACTTTTGAGCTAGGATCACTGTAGCCTGGAGAAGTGGTCTTCATCCCAGGTGGGGCTCACCTCTGTGAAGAGTAAATTAGTCAAACTTCAGTATCAGCATTTTTGATGTGCAAATGGATGAGGTGAGAGAACAGAATAGGCTGAAAGAAGGTGAAGGCATGAAGACAAGGGGGTTATTCCAATAAAGTCCTGATGACAAGATGAGACACTAGGAAACCAAAAATATATACACGGAGAATAAAGTACGTGGTAACATTTTTTTTCTGAAAAATTTAATGTTTAAACAATTTCAGAATTTCTCTATTAAGTGTAAACAGTTTAAACAGTAAGCAGTCCGACATTTATAATGGATAACCAGCAAGGCCCTACTGTATAGCACATGGAACTGCTCAGTGTAATGTGGCAGCCTGGATGGGAGGCGTGTTTGGGGGAGAATGGATACATGTATATGTTTGGCTAAGTCCTTTCTCATTGTTCACCTGAAACTATCACAACATTGTTAACTGGCTGTACCCCAATACCAAATTAAAATTTTTTTTAAAAAGTGATCAGTCCAGTAGGCTTAGAAGTCTTTATAATGAGCAAGTGAAGCTTTTGTTGTTTTGACAGCCTGCAGTACTCGGGGGCGGGCCTGCCTACAGATGCGTGACCGCACCTTTGCTAGCTGCCACCAGCTAGTGGTGCCACTTCCCAGCTTCTCTGAAGCCCTGGAGCCCACGGCATCTTCTCTTTCCACAGGACCGTGGCAGAACCGCTGCCCGGCCTAGACATCCCAGCCAGCTCCCCTTCTTCTCCCAGTGAGAGGGAAACTTTCCCTGTGGGAGGGCAAGTTATGGCAGGAAGTGGCCAGGTTTAGCACTGTGAAGAAAGGTCTCTACATGAGGATAGGTGAAAAAATTTGAATGTTGCTCCAAAAGATTCTGTTAAAACTTTAAAAAAAAGGAAGAGGATTGGCTCCAATACTAGAAACTATATTTAATACTGAAATCTGGTATCTGGCAACTGGTTCTCATTTGAATCTCTCTCAAATGCTGCTTTTGGTCAGAGGTGTTTTTACATGATTGATACTATTACCTCTTCTCAAATGGCAGTTACAGAGTAGTTTTTATATTTTATATTATGTTCCAGCTCATTTCTATAAGTCTCTTTGCTTTATTAAACCCATTTGTATATGAAAAATGCTAAAAGAAGGGGTTTTTTTGTGATCACTGTCTCATGCGAACTCTTTTCAGATGTTTCACATTCTGAATAGACCTCTGAATTGGGCCCCAATCTGTCAGCCGACCATAAATTCCTAGGTTGCAGGTACATCTGGTTCTGGAATAGCTTTTTTAGAAGGTTGCACAGAGGACAAAAATAATATATTTTATGTATTACTTTCATTGTATTTATAGATGCATATATTGAGTGGTTGTTCTTTGCTTAACATCATTAATGAAACTGAAGTGGAAATGAATAAGTATATCCTTTTGAATACTGCTTATGGGAGCTGACTAATTGAAATACCTTGAAAGTCTAGGAGTAAATACTATTGAAAACACCACAAAAAGTGATTTATGTTGTGAAAACTGAGACCTTTTAATTATGAGACATTGTTACATAAATATTATGTTCTTTTTTGTATACATATCCCATTTTACAATAGAGAATAGTAGTATTGTATAGAGGAGTATATGAAGTGTATACTATTTTAAAAATAAAAATAAAATGGACACCTATATACACACCATCCAGGTTGAGAGACAGAACATCACATGAATCTTAAAAACCTCTCTGTGTCCCTCCCAAAGTGCCTTATGCTCCTGATCCCCACCGAGAGGTCTTTTGGTCTTAACTGTTGTGTGGATCATTCCCTTTGCTTCTTTTTTCCCCAGTTTCCCACTTGTATATAATCTTTAAGTAGACTGTTTATTTTTTGGCAAACTGGGTAGCAAGCACAGATTAGTTGAATAAAGGAAGATCAATATTGCCAAAATATGGCAGAAGTTCTCAGGAGAAGATAAGTTGAACAATCTCTGGGTCTCAGTTCAGCTCAGCATCCCTGAGCGTTTACAGGAGCCCTTCTGGGCAAGGTCACGGGTGAATCCTGGGAAACATGGGTTTACCATGACAGGGTTTCTGGCAGGCTACAGTGTAGACCAGATACTGCATATCCAAAGGCAATGGGTTTTGAGTCTTTCTCCTCCTAAGCTCAGGGCTTCCTGGTGGCTCACGCGGTCAAGAATCTGCCTGTGGTGCAGGAGACCCAGGTTAGATCCCTGGGTCAGGAAGATCCCCTAGAGAAGGGAATGGCTACTCACTCCAGTATTCTTGCTTGGAGAATTCCATGGACAGGGGAACCTGGCAGACTATAGTCCACAGGGTCTCAAAGAGTTGGACATGACCGAGCAACTAACAGACACACACACACACACACGCACGCACACAATGACTTATCCCCAGATCTCAGAGCAGGTTGAAGCAAAACATCTCAGAGCAGGGCTGAAATGAGTGTCATTGGTTGCCCCAGAAAGCAGAGCATGGAGGGGAGAGCAGAGATATGGTGAGGAAAAAGCAAGCCAGTTAAAGAACTGAGGTCAGCAGTTCTTTAACTGCTCCAAATGCTTACCTGGGCATTTGGTCCTCAGTTAACAAGACGGTAAAATGGCAGTATAATCTCAAAGAGGATGCCTGTGCACATTCCTTATCCTGGCATCTCACCATCTTCCTGGGGATTTTTGTTTCTTCTCCTCTGATGATCTCTAGATCTCGTTTCTTCTTTCTTGTTCCACCATTTCATCTTGATAGATCATATTCTTCAGTAGATTCTTGAAAGTGAATTGGGATTCAACTGAAAGTGATTCCCAATTATTGACTAATGGTTTGGCTAGCAGAAAATTCTAACCTGGGAATCATTTATCCTTTAGATTAAAAAAAAAAAGATATCCCTGTTGTCTCTCATTATTCTTGTTGATAGGTCTGAATCCTTTGTAATTTTTGATCCTCTACTACGAGACTTATCCATTCCACTCCCCTTACCTGCCTCCAAACTTGTGGAATCTTCTCTGTTCTCAGTGTTCTGGAAATTTACAACCATGTGCCATGGTCAGGGTCTGTCTTCATCCATTGTGCTGTGTTCTAATTGGGCCCTTTCAATTCAAGAACTTGTGTCCCTCACGTCTATAAAATTTTCTTGATCTTATTCATCATTGCCTCTCCTGCTTACCCATTCCTCCACCCCCACTATTTTCTCTAGCAGGAACTTCTGTTAGTTGAATTTTGGATTTCCTGATCTAGTCCTCTAATTTTCTCATTTTTTTTCTTTCTATTCTTTTTGCTTGACTGTGTTAGAGATTTTATCAACGTTATTATTCAACCCTTCTATTGAGTTTTGCAGTTTGTATCATGTTTTTATCTTTTGAGAGCTTTTTACAGTCTCTCAATATTCTTTTTAATAGACTCGTATCCTTGTTTCATGGTTACAATATCTTCTTATCCTTTTGAGGACAATGAGTTTTGGAAGCTTTCATTTTCTGGACTTCTCCAGGTTACATTTTCCTATTTGTTCTGGTCTCTACCTTTAATATAAGAGGCTTTTTTGTTTGCATGCTCATGATTAAAGGGCTTGGGTTAAAAAGCTAATGTCAAGCTTTGAACACATGAGTGATGTTTTACACAACCCTGTGGGATGATTTGGGTGGCATGTTGAAGAATCCCTGTGATCAGTACTCTAGGTATTTTCTCCTTGGTAGGTCACATTCTTGAGAGAAGCCTATTCCATTTTCTTATGAAGAATAAAGATATGGGTGCCATCCTTCTTGAAGCTGAGTAGGGGGGCAGTGCTGTGAGTCCTTTGATATTGATGGTCAGTAAGCATACCGTCGTTGTGGTGGCACAGTGGTAAAGAATCTGCAGTGTAGGAGATATGGATTTGCAAGGGTTCAGTACCGGAATTGGGAAGATCCCTTGGAGAAGGAAATGGCAACCTGTTCCAGTATTCTTGGCTGAGAAATCCCATGGACAGAGAAGCCTGGCAGGCCACAGTCCATGAGGTCATAGAAGGGTCAGACATGACTTAGCGACTAATCAAGAAGCATACAGTCACTTATTCTCCTGTTTTCTTGTCCTCAGATATACCCAGCGGCTCTCAGTCCAGAGATTCTCTGTTTCACCGTTTCTGGAGAATAACCTGGACACCTTTTGAGGTGGGACGTGACAGTCCTCTGTCTCTGAGTGGCTTGGAGTGGCGAAGTGTTTCTCATATTTTAATGTGCATGCAAGTCCCCTGGGGATCTAGTTGAACCATAGGCTCTGATTCAGTAGGTCTGGGATCGGAGCCTGAGATTTTGCACATTTAACAAGCTTCAGGTAGAGCCACTGCTGGTGGTCCAAGGTACGACCACCACACTTCTTGTAGCAAATCCCAGGGATCTAACTGCCTCTCTCACGGCCCTTCTCCTAACCTTCTAGGAGGGCTGTACTCTCCACTTGCTCCACTAGCTAGTTCTAGAGCCTCCGACTGCGGCCTCTCTCGAGGATTCTGTAGTATACACGGGCTAGTTCTCAACTCTGCCACGATGACTCGAAGCACAGCCTTTTCAGGTTGGCTGAGTCACTTACCACTGGCTCATTTGCTTTCTGGCTTCCAAAATGTTACTGTCATCTTCTGTCCTTTTCCTGCTATCTTTGTGAGTTTATCTTTCTAAAAAAAAAAAAAATCTTTACTTTTACGGGGTTTCAGGCAGGGTTAAAAATTAGATGTGTTTGTTCTGCCGTATCACCCTAACCGTAATCAGCTGCTAAAGTATTTTCCTAAAGTTGATTATGGTATTGGTATAGAGCCTGATCTGTGATAAATAACTGTGCTAATTAAAGTTTTCAGGTCTTTGCACAAGGAATGGTCTCTACTTCTCCGTTCCCCCTTTTTCTTCCTGCCAAACTCTTTCACAGTCATTAAGGCTTAGCTCAAATGGTTGGTCTCTGTGAAGCCCCTGTTCCGTCCTCACACTATTAAAGTCTGTGTGTTCTCATGACTTTAAGCCATAACCAGCTGCTTATTCCAAAGAACTGTATAAGCTCCTCAGGGCTGGGGCCTGTACCTTCATAGCTCAGCACCCATCACAATATTAAGAGCTTATAGCTGTTTATCACTGCATTAATTTCTGTGTACATGTCTATCCCTTTTTTCTTCACTTTCTTTCTGCTCTCTTCATCTCTTCTTTCCTTTAAGAAGTCATATTTATTATCTATTCTACTATCCAATAGAAATTCATGTCCAATATTCTTAATCTTGAAAGTAAATGAGTAGAATAAATAATCCTTCTCAATTTATCAAAGCTGCCAAATTAAATGAAATAGACTTAAATATTACATAAACTTTTATTTGCTTTTTATCCCTAGCTCCAAGGACTGTTGTAAAACTAACATGTCCTTGGCTGTCAATAAAGATATAATTCTTACCACCTAATGAAATTATCTGTTGAGTGAGTTTGAATCTAAATTATTTAAATAAATTAAACATAAATCATCTTCCATTTTAATGATAACAAAATGTTTATGAAGTCTACATGCCTTCATTTGTTTTTAGCCTAGAAAACTCCTTTGGAGCAGCTGTCAAAATTTAACCCAATAGTACGGTGCTAACCCCATAACCTAGTCAGTATATGATTTAAATAATGGAGTCAAGAAAAATGCATAATCACATTCTCACCATTCCTATCTCAGTGTCAGACACATCATTATTTTAACATCTTGTAGTCCAGATATTTTTCATCCTTTAAAAGAAACATCAAAATCCTCCTCAAATTGGAAATCTAGATCTTAATTATATTATTTAATTGAAGAGCATGTTTAGGTAATTTAATACTAAGAAGTATTTTATATTAAGCTGCCATAAACATGTTCTATTTCAGTTGATTCAGTTGCAATTAGACATAAATTTGGCTTCTTGGCTTAAATTTGCATTTTAATATTATTTAAAAAATTTTTTTCCAAGTAGAAAATAAGATGATGATTATTTAGTTAATGTGGGGTTTAGAGAAATACCAGGCAAGTGTTATGTCATAAATATTCAATGAAGATTTTAAAAGTAAATGTTAGTTTGAATGCCCTAAAGGTTGTTACTATTCTAAAATTATTTTTAATTTTGCAACTCACTATTTTGCTCTGTAGTTATTAAAGAACAATCTTATTTATGTCTTCTTTCTCTAGACATATTTCAGAAATTGTGAACAACAACATGAATATAAATTGGGACATTAATTCCAACTAATCTTTTGTTCTTCATCTTCTTTGATAACCAGGTATTGATTCTGACTTTTGAAGATGGATGAATGTGTAGAAATTTCCAGTGATGGAAATTCTCTAATTAAAGCGGTCCATCAGAGCCGGCTTCGCCTAACAAGACTTTTGTTGGAAGGTGGCGCCTACATCAATGAGAGCAATGACCGTGGGGAAACACCTTTAATGATTGCTTGTAAGACCAAACATGTTGATCACCAGAGTGTCAGTAAAGCCAAAATGGTTAAGTACCTGTTAGAAAACAATGCTGATCCCAACATACAGGACAAATCTGGGAAAACTGCCTTAATGCATGCTTGCTTAGAAAAAGCTGGTCCTGAAGTTGTTTCGTTGCTCCTAAAGAGCGGGGCCGACCTCAGCTTGCAAGATCATTCTAGTTCCTCGGCCCTGGTTTATGCTATAAATTCAGAAGATAGAGAGACCCTGAAAGTTCTCCTTAGTGCTTGCAAGGCAAAAGGGAAAGAGGTCATTATCATAACGACAGCAAAATCGCCCTCTGGCAGACACACCACCAAACAGTACTTAAATATGCCTCCTGGGGGTATGGATGGGTGTCATACCCCAGCCACCTGTGCCTCTCCTTCAGAAATAGACTTAAAAACAGCCTCATCGCCACTTTCACATTCTTCTGAAACTGAAACGACACTTTTTGGCTTTAAAGATCTGGAGCCTGCAGGAAGCAATGATGATACTGGGGATGGAGGCTCCCCTGTGAGGAAGCCTGGTCTGGCCCCTAACGGACCCAAGCTCCCTCAGGCTCCTCACTGGATCAGGAGCCCTCCTTCGTTAATGCACAGAGTGGCCTCCTTACAAGAGGAGCTCCAGGATATTACTCCAGAGGAAGAATTATCCTACAAAGCCAACCGGCTGGCACTTTCCAAGCGATTCATTACTAGGCACCAAAGTATTGATGTAAAAGACACTGCGCATTTGCTAAGAGCCTTTGATCAGGCCAGCTCAAGAAAGATGTCATTTGACGAAGTAAATCATCAATCATTTTTTTCTGAAGGAAATCAGCAATGCATTGACATCCCAGTGGATCAGGACCCAGACTCTAACCAGACAATATTTGCTTCCACCCTAAGAAGTATAGTTCAAAAAAGAAACTCAGGGGCAAATCACTACAGTTCTGATTCCCAGCTCTCAGCTGGTCTTACCCCTGCAGCTTCAGACGATGGCAAAGCACATATAGGAAAGAAAAAGATTCTCTCGCCATCTTCTTCCTTACTATCAGGGTCCAAAGAATTGTTGGAGAATATCCCCCCAGGTCCCCTGAGCAGGAGAACTCATGCCCTTTTAGAAAGGCGTGGTTCAGGAGCTTTCCCTTTAGATCACAGCAGTACACAAACCAGACCAGGATTCCTGCCACCCTTAAATGTGAACCCTCACCCTCCCATATCAGATGTCAATGTCAGCAACAAGATTTCCAGCCTTCTTTCTTGTGGTCAAAAAGTGCTTATGCCAACAGTTCCTAGTTTCCCCAAAGAATTCAAAAGTAAAAAGATGTTGTTAAGGAGACAGTCATTGCAAACAGAACAAATTAAGCAGTTAGTTAATTTTTAAGACATGGCTAGAAAATACGTTTTGTTCACGTTTAACCAGAAAAATACAGAACTAGAAGATTCAAATGTTCATCCTTTTAAATCTTTTTATTGGTTAGTTCATAATAATTAGGGGTTATCAAAATGTACTGTGTCCCATCATACTATGCACTGTAGATATATAAATTATAGATAATTTTTGAAAAGAGATTCTCTTAAAGCGATTTGTTTTAAAAACCTTCCATATTTAACACACTTTATGTGGTCCAAGTTTTTAATTTAAACAAAAATAAGCAAACAAAGAAGGTTACATATGTTGGAGATAACTTTAAAGTTTTCAATTTTGCCAAAATTTTATTAGGAAACATTGTGTTCAAATCAGTAATTTTTTAAAAAAGCATTTCAAGATTGTAATTTGCCATGATGCCAACATCATAAAATATTAACAGCTATAAATTGTTCTATGGTCAATAAGCCTAAGCTACAAAGAAAGAATGAACTAATTCTTGAAAAATCTTGACTGCAGGTAGGTGACAATCTAATTAATATTTTTAAAGGTCAACCATTATAGTAGACAAGGCAGCTAATATGTGTTGTCAGCTTAATCAGTGTCAAAATGGCAGATCTGAGTTTTATAAGCTAGTTATAATCTTCTATCAGGGTCCAAAGAATTGTTGGAGAATATCCCCCCAGGTCCCCTGAGCAGGAGAACTCATGCCCTTTTAGAAAGGCGTGGTTCAGGAGCTTTCCCTTTAGATCACAGCAGTACACAAACCAGACCAGGATTCCTGCCACCCTTAAATGTGAACCCTCACCCTCCCATATCAGATGTCAATGTCAGCAACAAGATTTCCAGCCTTCTTTCTTGTGGTCAAAAAGTGCTTATGCCAACAGTTCCTAGTTTCCCCAAAGAATTCAAAAGTAAAAAGATGTTGTTAAGGAGACAATCATTGCAAACAGAACAAATTAAGCAGTTAGTTAATTTTTAAGACATGGCTAGAAAATACGTTTTGTTCACGTTTAACCAGAAAAATACAGAACTAGAAGATTCAAATGTTCATCCTTTTAAATCTTTTTATTGGTTAGTTCATAATAATTAGGGGTTATCAAAATGTACTGTGTCCCATCATACTATGCACTGTAGATATATAAATTATAGATAATTTTTGAAAAGAGATTCTCTTAAAGCGATTTGTTTTAAAAACCTTCCATATTTAACACACTTTATGTGGTCCAAGTTTTTAATTTAAACAAAAATAAGCAAACAAAGAAGGTTACATATGTTGGAGATAACTTTAAAGTTTTCAATTTTGCCAAAATTTTATTAGGAAACATTGTGTTCAAATCAGTAATTTTTTAAAAAAGCATTTCAAGATTGTAATTTGCCATGATGCCAACATCATAAAATATTAACAGCTATAAATTGTTCTATGGTCAATAAGCCTAAGCTACAAAGAAAGAATGAACTAATTCTTGAAAAATCTTGACTGCAGGTAGGTGACAATCTAATTAATATTTTTAAAGGTCAACCATTATAGTAGACAAGGCAGCTAATATGTGTTGTCAGCTTAATCAGTGTCAAAATGGCAGATCTGAGTTTTATAAGCTAGTTATAATCTATGCCAAATGTGTGCTATTTTTTGCTTTGCCTTTTTTTTTTAATAGGAACTTTTTTTCTTTTTATTCTATTTCCCAAGAGCAAACACAGTAAGACTAAAGCAAGAATAGAATACATTTAAAATACATAAACTATTAGAGGTAGTGAAAAGAAATTATAACCACAAAAATATTAGTTTGTTGCTTGACATTGTGACAAAGTTTACTAAAATTTCTTCCAGATACTAAGCTTCTGCAGTATTGAATTTACAGGATTATTAGTCAAAGGAACATTTCTGTTCATTTGCTGTTGACAGAACCTTTTTATTTATTTTATATTATGGAAATTTTCAATCACACAAATGTAGAGAGAATAGTTCAATGAAGCTTCATATATACAGTGTAATAGAGTATTGATTTTTTAAAACACAAAGGCATTTTGGTGTAATATTAACTCTTCAGTCCAAAAATTCATTGTGGATCCAGATTTTTTTTTAATCCTCATATAGTGTCCTTCTTTATCTATCTTTATGACATTTGTTTTAAAGTCTGGTTTGTCTGAAATGAGTATTGCTACCTCCAATTTCTTGTCATTTCCGTTTGCAAGAAATATCTTTTTCCATCCCCTTACTTTAAATTTATGTGTGTCCTTTGCCCCATAGGGGTCATTTATAGGCAGCCTATTGTAGGCTCTTGTTTTCTTATCCTGTCAACCACTCTGCATCTTTCAATTGGAGCATTTAATCCATTGACATTTAAGGTTATTACTTATAGGTGTGTATTTATTGCCTTTGTTAACCTTGTTTTCCAGGTAATTTTTGGTTTCTTCTTTGTTGCTTTTTTAAAAAAAAAAAATTTGTTTTTCCTTTTGTGGTTTGATGAGTTTCCTTTTTGTGTCCTCTTCTTTTTGGTTTTTGTGAATCTGTTGAATGTTTTTGACACATGGTTGCCCTGTGTTTCAAGTGTGTTAATCCATTACTATATCTACTTGCAGTTCAGTTACCTATTACTATATCTTAGTGCAGTTCAATTCGGTGTGTGCATGCTTTGTCACATCCAACTCTGCAGTCCCAGGGACTGTAGCCCACCAGACTCCTCTGGCCATGGAATTTTCCAGGCAAGACTACTAGAGTGGGTTTTTGCCTTTTTCATTTTTAATGTTATTTTATGGAATTCTTTCTCCGTATCTTTTCATCCCTGTTATTGTTTTTTGAAGCTTAGTAATAGATTCCCAATGACAAGATAATACAGCTGTTAAAAGCATTTCTTGTTTTCTTGTATTAAACTATTCTTGTCTTTCTAAATACAACCAAAAAAAAAGTGTGGGATTTATCACAAAAAGAAACTAAATGCTTGCTTTGTTGTAAACAAGGAAAACTGATTATTAGATTATATTAGGTTAGCTAAAATTAAGAAAGCTGGTAGAAATTTAATTACAAAATGTATTAAGTATTCGGTCAATATTAAAGAATATCTTTTTATTGCTGAGATATAATTATTAGATTATTTATATAATTAGAATAATAAGGGTAATTTCCTTAGTGTGACATTCCAATTATCTAGTATTTAGGACCTGTGAATAATTTCTAACAAAATAAATGAATGTGATGCTACTATCATAAAATGTTATGGATATACTATCTATATGATTTCAAAATATGGTGTCTATACAGAGTCCTTATTTCAAGTTAGCAGTTTTACAACAAAGAGTAAATCAAACTATACAGAGCCTGAGTATATTAATTTGAGGTCCTGGCAATTGACATGATGCTTTTCTTCATAATTTGATATAAGCAAGTTGTTATTTAACATAGTAATTAATTTCTTGTGGCTTTTATTTGAAAAATAAATGGAAACTGGAAGTTTTCCATTTAATGTTTTGAAAAACATTAATATTAATTGCATTAAAAGTATTTTTTGGTTCAGAACTTAGATTTGTGCCTGATGTTTATAGGTAACTAAACCCTTTTTGTAACTTTTAATACTGAGAAAAGTTCTTGGCTTCAAGTTGTAAGGATACGGTGTGGAAGAATATGTAGCTTAATTAGTTCATAAACAAAATGATATCAATAAAGATTTAAATGTCATTTTGAGTATCAGTGCTATTTTTTACTTTTCATTATATAGTACACATACTAATGATAAAAATTAACATAATCTGAGGAGAAATTGTGCCATATATGTTTTCTTGGAGTAAATAGAAAGTTAAGAAAGAATAACTTTTGTTGTTACTCTTATCCCAACATGAAAATAATATTTAAAGTATTAAAACTTTGTTGGCCATGTTTGGAAGAGTTTTAGTCTTCTATCAATCCTAGGAACATTTTAGGGGCTGAGGTTGTTTGAGCCTGGTTGTAAAGTCATCCCGTGGGATTCAATTGAGATTTGACCTTAAATACTGAAAGGACTGATGACTGGCATAGTCCGAATCCTCCAGATTAAGAAAAACAACTAAAGCCAGAAAATTGAAGTTACAAAAATATTTCAATTATTTTACCTATCCTAGGAAGATAACAATAACTTTTGGAAATAGCTGAGGATAGATGTTAATCAAAGATTTAACAAAAGAGATTCCTTTGATTGACTAACCATCAAAGTCTTATCAACTTCGAAGATTTTTTGAGACAGGCTTTACTTGACAATTCTAGATGCATTGGGACAAGTTGAAAACTAATGATTGAGATTACACTTTTGAATTTCAGTTATCCATGCAACTTCTTAGCTTTATTTTCATGTTTATTCAGTGTTAGCTTTAGTGGCATAAATATGAATTTTGACTGTCAGGCAACACATTTCAAAAAGGCTCTTCTCAATTTCTTAAAAAAAAAAGTCTATATTATCCCTACAGCTTTGGATCCTATAAATATGAGGAATCTGACATCCAAGGGAAGAACAGTTCCACCAAGGTATTCAATCACAGTCCACCAGAATGTAAACTGTGATAACCATCTGATCATTCCAAGTTCCTTCACAGGAGAAAAAGGTTTCATGACACTGGTTGGAATAAATACGGGTAGAATTTGAGGAATTCACTGGGGACCCCCTTGCATTATCATAACCAGGGGTAAATGTAGGTTATCCCAGTTCCACACAAATGGAGCATCAAGGCATCAGAATTCTCAAGAATGAAGAGATGGGGTATACCACCAGGTACATTCTTGGCTGTTTCTGCCTGCAGCTGTTAGAAGGGGCAGCCTAAGGTATCACGTCATCCCATTGGTTCCCTTACTCCCCGATAGTAAACTGGATGAAGGATGGACAAGTGACCCAAAGGAACAAAGCCACAAACTGAGATGAACCAATGGGGGCTTTCTCTCAGTATCTGAATTTGTCTTGTGGCATACTGGAGTTTGTGACCTCCCACTGCTAAGGACCTTGTCTTAGTTGCTTAGGACAGTGGTCTTAGATTTTGCCCTTCCTGCAGCCTAAGTGTTCAACATTTCTCTGAATTTTCTGGATATTTCTCCTATGGTAAGTTCTTCCCTAGCCTCAGTTATTTGAGTTAATTTGAGTAGGATTCTATTATTACATCCAAAATGTTTCAGACCAAGACAGTACCTAAAGCAGTATCAGTTGGATCAAGATGGAAAATATGGTCCAGAAAGAAGGTAATCATTATCAAAACAAGGACCTCATGGCTCATGCCAAGAGAGTTCCAACTTTATAAGACAGCTTTGACACCTAAGGCTTCAGCTTTGAAGAGCGTATCAGGAGACAGTATCTTTATCAGTGATCATAGCATGTCACAGAGGCTCTTTAGTACGATGCCTGGCGTATAGTACACACTTCAGATTTTTACTGCTTCTTATCATAAATGTAAGGATAAGGGAATTTTAAAAATTAGAAAACATTTGATAAGTTAGTAAGACAATGGTTATAATTATTCTCTTTCCTCTACAAAGTTCCAAATGGGTCATTATTTTATATAGCCTTTTAACTAAAAACCAACTTCAATATACTTCTGTACTGTTTGAGTCTTAAAACTGCTTGCATATATATTTTTCAATTT